AGTAAACACACACCTGTAGATTGTTGTTATCTCCCGGGTCATTCTTATAAAAGTCATCCCTTTAATATCCTCACCTGCTGCACCTGCCTGCTCCTCTCTTCTCCCCCGCTCTGCTCCAGCTAACTTTAGCTAAAGCTAGCAGCCACCGACACACGGCTCCTCTCAGGTGGAGGAATCGGTAATCCTTTTCTGACTTTTAACAATCATCCAGCTTTGATATCATCTCCTGTTCTTTTTTTAGACTTGTCCTGACAAATATATTTTATTTAAAACACCGCTCCAACTTCTGCTACTAGAGACACTTGAGTCCCGCCCCCACGCTATTTCTGATTGGCTAGTAGGCCTGTCTAAAGTGAAAGCTGCATCTCAGATAGGCCCTGAGAAATGTTTGTTAAATCTGTTTTCAAAGCAGCGCATCAGATTCCAGCATGGCAAAAGTGCGCTAKTTGTTTAAAAATTAATACCTCGTCAGATGGTGTTTATTACCTTTTAATACTTTTTAATGGCTTTAGTTTTTGCTWATTTGATTTACTACCTTTTAATACTTTTTACAACCCCGCAGATACCCTGAAAAAAAAAAAAGAGAAATTGTTTACCTGCCCTGTCGGGCAGATTGGGACACACCCACCTGCCTGAATACGAGTTTTACCTGCCCTGGGCAGTCGGGCAGTAGGATTTGTCGAACCCTGATACTGGGTTTGATTATTACAGTTTTCTGCAAAAAAATGCTCTAAAAGTTATATTATCTTTGCTTTTTATGATAATTTTCTACCACGATATATTCTGTTACTGTGAAGATATTCAATTTATACCGTGATATGAATTTGAGGTCATACCGCCCAGCCCTACATTATATGAATTAAGATGTTCTGCAGTTTGAATTATGCTAATATTTTGAAGTTTTTAGTGCATTTTACAGTATTCATAGTGCGAGATGTACCTTAGCCTGGGTCAGAGCCGCCTTCTTCACCTTCAGCTGCGACTGCAACAGCTTAAAGTTCTTGGACCAGCCTTCGGTCTTGGTGTCACTGGCACCGACGCCGAGATCATCATAAAGTGACATTCTTGCAGCCTGAAAACACACACAGTCAAGCTCATTTCATATTTTATTACTAAAAAATGTTGTTTGTAACAGCAGGTTGAAAACAAACTTTGCAGCTGTTTAGACTGCCTTTACATTTTTCAGTACAAACAATATTTACAATGTTTGTACAGCACCAGTCAGAGAAAAAAAGAAAGAAAGAAACAATCAATAGAGCAATGATTTTTCTGTAAGCAAGATAAAAAGTAACGCTTTCTATCCTTTAGAAAAATTCCAATTTGACTTCCACCATACCGTGGAAGGTCCCAAATATGCAGATTGCASTTTCTGTCAAATAAATTAACATTTATTTGTGTCCTCGGGGAGATTAGGCTTTTCTCATACTATTTCCCTGCAGTGGTCACATGTATAAACAGAATCTTCAATAGATAAAATGTGTCCATCACAGTTTAACTACTCATCAACAAACATGACYCCATCTACAGAGCATTTAAGCGCATTAGCTAACACAGGCTAAAGCTAAAGCATGACGGCTAAACTGTCAGCTTCCGGGCCACGGCTCAGAAGTTAAATACTTTGAACTAATTTAACTACTTCTAAACCTTTCATTGAAATAAATTTGTAAAATTCGGTAAGTCTAAAAGTATTTAAAAAGCAGCAYATTTTTGCATACCTCCTCGCTGTGTAGCCCACAGATTGGAGTAGCCTACGGAAGTAGTGGAACAACCAATCGGAGACAGCGAACGTCAACCTCTTGCGCCATCTAGCGGTCAGGTGGACTCGACGCATGAAAAATGGGGGAAAACTAGTGATGGGCAGTTTGAAGCTGAAGCTTCAGCGCATGTATTGAA